ACTGCAGGCTGCCAAGGCTCCACAGAAGTGTGTTGAGAGGGAAACGAAAGCAATGTGTGCCACGCCAAAAGTGTGCACAAGGAGAAACATCCCAAAAATAATTATTCAGCTGCTAATGCTGCCTGCAATCCCTTAAAGCCACATGAGGCTGGGCAATCTCAGCACAGCTCGATGGTATTAACCCTCTTCTGTCACGCCGCTTTACTGGCATTACCCATCCCCTCTCCTCCCCTTTCTCTACGCCGCACAATCACAGCCTGGGGATGACACTGAAAAGCCGCGAGATAACTTCAAGTACAGCGTTTCTGCGAGCTTTCCTCAATCTGTGGTAAAGATTCAAAACGAGGGACGATATTTACATTTGTTAGAAGGTTCTGGTTTGCTTTCCATCAGGCAAAGCAAGGTGTGTATGTATATATTATATATATACATTAAGGGCAAAGCAAGTGCATAAAAGTGACCATACAGGCTGGAATGTAGGGCAAACTGATTTTTCAGTGCATTTTCAAAACACTATTGGGGAGAGTCTAGCCCATAATTATTTATTTTGCCTCAGAGCCACTACTGTCTATGGTCGAAGAAGCTGGACTGGAACACAGTCATGGTAAAATGTCAAAGCGCTATAAGACTCCAAATCCTTCTTACATTGCTTTTTCCTCAAGGATAGGTTCAGATATTTTCAAGTCTATCTCAACTCAGTATGTACATGTACATCGCATGTATGATGAAACAGTTATGGGTTGCTGTAATCATCCCTCTGTCTACGCTGCTTGTGAAGCAATGCCTTGTCAAGTGACTACATTGTAAAACATGGGGGACAAAAACCACAGTCCTTGTTCTTTGCAAAATTTATTCCAAAGTTCAGTTGGAGCTAATATTCATCAGTCTCTGTCCAAGTGTAACGCAAATGTTCAAATAATAAATAATCTCATCTCTCCAGTGGAACTAAAGCTTCAGTACATCCTGATTTATTGGCTAAGTATGTTTCCGTTGTACTTTTTGGTTTTGTCCATACATCAATTTTTCTACCTCAGCCAAGCTTAAAAGCTTAGATGCGCTATTTAAGCTTTTTCTGAATTCCCAATGTTTCCACTCAGGTTTATTAATGTGTAGACTGTATATATGCATAAAAACAAGTATATGGTAGTTAGCCAAATCCAGTGGGTATTCAAGGACGTCTGTTTTTTATTCTAGGAAGTCTTTTTTATATGAAAGTCTGTCTCTGCAACCCAAGTGACTGTTTTTCAGTCAGGACAGAGACATACTTTTAATTGCATACTGCACTTGATTTGGATAACTCAGCCTCCATATATGTCTTTTCCAGTTGTTCCCAATCAGTAACCTATAGTAATTAGGTGGTTTTTGACCACAAGAAGACAGAAAACACACAAAAAAACATTGAAGCACAAACAATGAGCACTGATAAACTTATTACGTTTTTAACATGTTAGCAAACAACTGTTGGCTTACATTTCCAGCAACAAAACAACTTGGACATCCAATCCCAACCAGGTCCAGTAGTGCTTGTAATTTAAGCTCTTGAGAAAAATAGCTGTCAATTAACAGCAATTAACAACTTGATTCAGATAACTCATACTGCTAAATTATTGGCTACAGTTGAACTTCAGAATTCATTTTGGCTCGTAACCATTTCTTGCACTGCAGTCACTCTATGACAGTATCACTTCATGGCTAGAATGGAGAAGAGGGAGGATGAAAAAATCCAAACCTTTCCTTGAATGTGACAGACTGCAAAACAAATACCAGCTGGAGGGGGGCATGGAGGGGCTGCAGGTTTATACTGTACTGTAGCTGATAGGACTAGATGGGTGCGGGAAGTTTGTCCTAGCAGGCAAGACATCTATATTAAAGATTGAGTGTGTGTGTGTGTGCGTGTGTGCGTGTGAGAGTGAGAGAGAGAGTGTGTTTAAGAAGCAGTGCAGTGACATAGGTATCCACAGCTTCCAATTCTCCATGGCGTCACATTAGCAGCCTCATCTCCTCGGCTAATCAACAGTGCAGGGCCAATATTATTGTTTCAGTCGATTTCAAACTGATCAAGATCGAAGAGGAAGCCATTGTATTGATAGTACTTCACAATTATTACCATACGTCTAAG